TATAAGATACACCAATAAAATTCACTGCTGCAGAGATGAGTATTTGAATTATTAGCATGCTAAGCTTCACCTAAGGCTAAAACCCACCCTGTTCCTTCTCTATCTTCCCAGTGAAACAGATTTTCTAGTTTGAAGGTAGAGGTAGTGGTGTCTGTTGCTGAATTAAATTGTGTTTGCTTATTTATTCTAGGACTGGTACCTAAAGGTTATTGAGGAGAAAACAATGGATGAGTTACTAGGAGATCAGACTTTGGAAATGCCCTTGCCATTAGAATCTTCCTTGAAGAGGTCTTATTGAGCAAAGGATGATGCCAAGGGAGAGTTTTTGTTCTTTTGCTATCATTCCCATACTAATCTCCTTCCTGTTCTTTTCTACTTCCCTCATAAATACTTCATCTCCCTATTCTAGAAGCCTTTGTAGAATCAGTAATGGATAAATATGAATAAGGTGAGAATAACATGCCAAGCTGTACATCTCCCTCCCCAGTGAAATCCAGGACTACCCACCAGTGGAAGCCACAGAGCTGGGTTTGAGGACACACCACTTATTTTTGGCTTTTCCTTCCGATCCTGATTGATCTGTTTGATGTGTCCATTTCTTCGGCATTACCTCTTGAATGCCATCAGCATACTTCCATGGTCTTTATAGGGCAGAAATATATGAAGTTTACTCCTTTACTTTGATTTCCCAAGAAGCCAGTTACTCAAACAGCAATTGATTGATCACCTTTGTTTGAAACAGGTAGAAAACTTGATTAATTCTGTGAGGGAGTGGAGAACCTAGGGTTCCCCACTTTATGGTTTGGTTTCTTTTTATTCCAATCCTTTTTCTGGCAGGCAACTCAGTTGATTCACCATTCATCAGCTTTAAAGACATCTGTTCATCTATATATAGGCTGCTTGCACAGACCCATTTAGAAACAGATGATATATTAAATTTGTGGAATTCAATAATAGTCAAAGTATAAAGACTTGTGCATGTACACAAATAGGTATTTTTGTTTGTTTTTTTTCCACTTGGGGAGTGGAGAGGAAATCTAAATGGTGATGTATAATGAATAGATTTTGTCGAATTCCTACTCTTTTGAATCTCCTTGGTCTAGCACCATCTAGGAGTATAACCATTTGCACTAGTGTCAGGCACTTCTTGGTGAGGGTGGATGTGCATTAAATGTATGGCCTTGAAATGTACTCCTGATTTGGGTACCTTCTTTAGTGAACACAGCACATACAGCTCTTAAGCTGTGTACTGAAAGTTATGAAATGGTTTCTTCTAAAATGAATAATCCCTCAACTGATAAATTACTGAACACTACATCTGAAACTGATGTACTACGTGTTGGCTAATTGAATTTTAAAAAATAAAATGAATAATCCCTGAAGTTTGGAAACATAAAGACATTTTATTTAGAATGCTTAGAATTAAGAGAAATTAAGATACACTAAGGAAAGGGGAAATTCATATAAATATCTATTTCTTTGTAGTTGAAAGTTTTAGAAGAGGGATCCTTTTATCTGTACACAGCCAAGCAGATCAGTTCTAAAGTAAAATGATATAGAGGTTGACAACTATAGTTTGGAGTTTACTGCCTAGGTCTTTTTTCTTTTCCTCCTAATAAACATTGTTCGAGTTAGCAGGAGAGGGTTTTGCAGTGTATGAAAGTACATGCCTACAGTCAGGTTGTGGCAATACCCAAGATACTACTGATAAAGGGTGAATTCTATTATGTAATGGGGAACTTAGTCAGATTTCAGATAAGCACGGAGTTTGGAGTTCACTGCTGAGAGGGGACAGGATGGAATTTTCGTGTAACTGAACTTTAATATCATTTAGTTTTACAGATGGAAAGATTCGTTAGATAAACTTTCCTCTTTGAGCTAGACCTGTTGAAAAATAAAAGCTAAATCAACCTTTACTGTGTTCTCCATAAAAAAAAATTTGAATCATAGACTTAAATGTTTATTCTCATGGGGCAATAAGTTTTTCAGTCAAGAAGTTTGCATAATATCCCTTATGGCCCTATCTGTAGATGGGTTATTTAGGAGGGCTGCTGATTGGTATTTCAAAATTATTTTTGGATAATGGCCAGAGTTTTCATTAGTTACTGTTTCTTTGAAGTGTTCAGACTTACTGAATTGTATTTAGATTTCTCTGTTCTCAGAAATCAAATCAATTTCTTATATTTATTTTTTTTCCAATTTCTTATATTTAATCATTTTCTAATAGCTCATATTACACGGGGCTTTAGAAACACTATATATAAGGGTGCCTGGGTGGCTCAGTCGGTTAAGCATCTGCCTTGGGCTCAGGTCATGGGATTGAGCCCCACGTTTGGGCTCTCTGCTCGGCGGGGAGCCTGCTTCTCCCTCTCCCTCTTCCTGTGGCTCCCCCCACTTGTGCTCTCTCTCTGTCAAATAAATAAAAATCTTAAAAAAAAAACACTATATATAAAAGATGACAGATATTTTCCCTTTTTTCCCCTCTTTCTTTCTTTCCTCCAAGGAGACGTATGGCATAGTATTAAGTGCCCCACACTGTAGAATCACAAAGACCTGGGTATGAATTCTCATGCCAGCACTTTTGAGCTGTGTGACCTAAGGCAAAGTTTTAAAGGTCTGATCCTTAGCTTCCTTATGTGTAAAATGGAGATAATAATTGTACCATTCTCATAGAGCCCCCCTTTTTTAAGTTAAAAGTAGGTCAATCACTTAACACGGCCTGACACAGTGACACTCAGTGACTCCTAGTTAAGTATTTGCATTTTATTGTAATTATTAGTGTTGCTGCTAATCTGTGGTTCTAATTTATCTGAAATCAAATTCCTAGATTAGTTTAAATTTATTTTTACTGAAGTATCACTCAAACTCCTTTGACCCTGGCCTGAGCCACATCCCTTTTCTTCAGTCCCTTTGCCTGTCTCACCAGAGAACCAGCTGAGGTGGTCACATTCCATGCCTGTTGTCTCAGCAGCATAGGCTCCAGAAGACGCTGAAGAAGTAGAGAAGTAAGGAACCCACATTCTGGAATCAGAATGTTTGGGTTCAAATTCTGTTGCACCTCTTATTAGTGGGATAATCTTAGGTAAATTACTGAATCACTCTGGGCCTTATTTTCTACCTGTAAAATGGGATTAGTAATGCCCGTGTCTTTCCATAGGGGTGTTAGATATATCTGAGTAAATTAGTTAAAACATGAGAGTACATAGAACAGTGTCTGGCACCGAGCACATCCTCTATAAATGTTAGCCACTAGTGTGGCTCTTGTTTTATCCATTTATTCTGCAAATCTTTGCTTTTAAGTGTTAATTTGTTAAAAAAAGAATAGTAATAGTTACAACTTCCTGATAAGATCTCTCAGGCTGTATTATCATTTTGAGATACAGTTCAATTCAAGAAACAGTTATTAAATGCTTACTGTGTATTGAGTGGTATATAGGGCATATATTAATAAGATGTATTCCTCTGCCCTCCAAGAGTTTATAAACTGGTAGGAGAGATGAGCTATATTCAGGGGGTGAATGTTGCATAGGGCAAAATACTACTATACTTTTTATAACAGATAAAAGGTAGCTCACAGGAGGTCTAGAGTAATTCTGCATGCTTGGGGGTCAGGAAGGTCAGGATAGGCATTTCCAAGTGAAGTGAATAAACAGTTGGGCCAGTACATGGTACTTGAGGAAGAGCAGTTGGACAGCCTTGCTTGGGGCATTTACAGTGGGAGAAGTACTCCACAAGTAAGGTCGCGAGCCAGGGAGCTGTCTGAGCAACATGGCAAAACTGTGGTGCCAGATACTTAAGAGGAGTGTGAGGGAGGTGGAAGGTTGAAGTTGGCTCAAAAACTTTAATACTTGTTTGGGGGTGGGGGAGTGCAGGGATTGCAGATCATGATTCCATTTTCTAAAGAGATAAGAAGGATGGAAAGTGGGTTAGGTTTTTGGGAGAAAGACAGGTTCTACTTTGGACTTGCTGAATTTGAGATGTAGTCAGGAGCCTAGTTATGGTTCTGCCATTCTTGGAGGCCTTCTTAAAAACTGTTCTCTGAGTGAAAAAGGCAGGTAACCTAAGATAATATGATTCCTAATAGATGCAGGTCTCCCTCAGATGTGACTTGCAGAGACCTTATAATTGAAGACTTACCACATAAGGGGACTTTCCTTGGCTCCTAACCCTCCTTCTCTGAATGTTTTCTCACTTACCCTCTGAATGCCGGCCGTGCCATGGTCGTTCTGCATGGTATGCAGTGGTAATGCCCTTTACATTTCATTGACATTTGAAATAGAGATCATTGACTTTTAACTTTAGAAAAATTCCTATTGAGTGTTTCATTAGGTGGTGTTGCCAGAGTCACCCTCCCCTATCCTGGGTGGCTTTGACTTGTGTCGCTTGGTCGTTTCCCCTCAACAGAAAAAAGCTCTAAGTGAACAGTAAGAGGAAGAAAAGAGTTATATTGATGGTAAAATGTTTTCTGGTATAGAGAAATGCATTGTTTGGTGAATATAGGTGTAATTTTTAGATACAAAAGACAAGATTTTACAAATAACCAATACTTCCTGATCTATGTGAGCACGGTATCATTCACTGCACTCACGATGGTAAACACATGCTGCCAGGAAGACAGTGTAGAACATCTAGAAAGCTTTTCCTGCTGGGTGTTGGTCCTCATTATATTTCCTTTGAGTTAAGAACTTGTGTTTTTTTAGTCTTAGGAGGAGGATACAGTGTTGTAGGAGGTTTTGAGCAAGAGGCAAGACTTTGGTACTTTGTGGATTGTTATCGCCCTGCAAGACCCTTCGCAACTTCCTCTCGCCACCCACAGCAGAATACGGAAACCCTGCTGTATCAGGCCACTTCTGCAATTAACAGACAGTCACAATTAAAGGGATCCTTCTTTCACACTACACCCTTCTGTTCTGAGACTTCCTTTGTATTTGAAAATGTGTCTTTTGTGGTGGAATGCCCAACTGAGCCTCGGTCTCTCCTCTCTCTTTGCCACCCTGCAGTGCTGCAGTTGAAGCTTCAGCAGCGCCGGACGCGAGAAGAGCTGGTGAGCCAAGGGATCATGCCGCGTAAGTGCCTCTGTCTCTCTCTCTGTCAGCATTTAATAGAGCTGCATTTTCGACATGGTGTGTGTGCCTGGTGTGCCATGGGAAGCATCTAACAGCAAACAAGGGCAACAGGTTTCATTTGTCACTCTTTTCTTGTGCTTCTCCAAGTTCAGGGACTTTTCAATCACTAATAGCTAAGATACTGCCCTTATTAAGTTCAGTGAAACAAACAGCATTGGATTGAATGGTGCCATCGAACCATCCTTCGCTTTTGAATTGTACCTTTCAGGGGTTTCTGCTCCCTGTTACACTCATTTCCCTTTATAGGAGGAGCAAATCTTGAGCTGGGGTATTGTGAGGAAGAACCCATTTCTTGCATGTGTTTTGCCTTCGTGTTCACGTTCTTGGGAAGAGAAAACCCTTTTCCACCTGGTATTTTGAATCAACTACAGTTTTATTTAGAGTGAGATTCTCAGATACTCTGTGGCTGGCATGGGTGTGAGTGTGCTTGATGGGGTTATTGCAGAGCTGGGCTTAGAAGGTGCACAACTATATTACTTGGGGAGAAATGAAACCAACATTGGAATCTGTTAGAAGTAAGAAAATTTGCTTTCAATACCAACAGCATTATAAACTGGCAACTGGAGCCAGCAAGATTTTGCTCTTTTTGACATTCTTTTTAAGGTCATCAGTGGAGAGCTTAGGCTCTCCCTCTTCTTTCTTTTCTCTTGTGTGTTATTGCTACTTGGACACACCCTATGAAGTTAAAAAAAAAAAAAGTCCAACAACTTCTAGCTTCATAGTGAGAGAATTAATGTTTTTCACCTTAACTCAGTGCTGACCTACTGCCATGGCATTTTCCTAATCCTAATTCACTTCTTCATTCAGTTTATTTGAGAACTAGTGTGTGCCCTTGATGCGGCAAGAAAAATCCAGCTCCTGCTCTCAGGAGTTTTGTGTTTAAAAGGAGAATAGTGATAGTAAACAAGGAGACAAATAAGGTAATTTCGGAGCATAGTAAGTGTCACAAAGTAAATTAATCAGTTGGTGTGTTAACAAGTAATAGGAATGAGATGGGGTCACTTTGGATAAGATGATCAGGAAAGGCCTCCCTGAGGAGGAAATATTTGAGCTGAGGTCTGAAGGATGAGATGGAGTCAGCCATGCAGAAACAGGCAAAGGGCCTGGGAGAAGCGAGAACAAGTGTAAGGGCCTAGTGCAGGTAAGAGCCTGACGTGTTTGAAAACATCAAGGAAGCAGGTGTGGCTGGGGCCTGGTGAGTGAGGGGAGCCTGGGGACAAGTTAAGATTGGCAGGGTGGGCGGGGCTAGGATGAGGGCCTATCAACTACTCGGAAGGGGTGGATTTTATTTTAGGTACAATGGGAAGCCATTGAAGCCTTTTAATAAGCAAGTGAGGATGGGATTTGATTCATGTCTTGGTGATGGCAGGTCCATTTCTAAGAACTAGAACTGTATAGCAGGTGGAAGGAATCTGAGGTCTGTTTCTATCCTAAGCATCAGCCAGGAACTTAAGTCTCAAATTCAGCTTTTTATTTATTGCCGTTAACTTCCAAACCATTTACCCACATTATGCTGCTATCTTCTCTGGCTTTCCAGTGAAGGACTTCCCACCCCCAACCCTAAAGAGTCAAATAGAGCAGGCTGCTTGTGTGGTGGATCAGTGATATGATCAGGAAGGGCACTATTGTGCTTTACAGATCACTCCAGATCTGCCTCTCTATAAACCCTTGTGGAGGAACAAGTCACCCAGAGTCTTATCTCCTTGTCCCTTTCACCAAGTACATCATGTGTTCAATGTCTACACTGTGTCCAGGGTAGTTAGTCCTGGAGAGATTAAAGAAATATCAGGCAAGGTACCTGCCCTCAGACATTTAACAGTTTGAGTAGCTAAAATTTACCCATATACAAAATAAAGGACAATTCAGCATCCTGTGGGGGTGCTGACTAATTACAGTACTAGTTCTGAGAGCATAACACTATTTCTCAAGATCCGTGAGATGTTCAGCGTCTAAAAGCCTTGCAGAGAGGGTGAGGGCTCTGCATTCCTGTGCCTGTCTCGTACTTGGTACCAGTGGTTACTAGAGCTCACTGCTTAATACGATTGATCGAGTACAGCCTTCCTGCTCAGCATTTCTTGTCATGTTCTGTGTTGTTAAAAGACAGATGATGCTTCCATTATTGGAGTTATCTGCTTATACATTTCCCTCCAGCCATACTGTGAGCTCCTTGAGAAAGTATCTTACCCAGTGCCAGGCACTGAATGAATGAATCGAGACAGTCAGTTGTAAAGTGTGATGTATGTGTGTGTATGTGAATGATAGGGACAGCTACAACTCTCTTGTAAACTTTTTGGAATTCTGGACATTGAATTTGGAACAACGCTTCTGTTCTGTCAGAAGCCTAGGTTCTGGAATGTTCTGAGTACCTAATTGTATACTCTGCACTGTGAAGTGAGAATAATTGCCCTTCCTGTAGGAATAGAAATGATCTGCTTCTGTGAGAAAACTGCATCTTCCTCCTACCAAGAGCCACCTTCAGCTATGGACACAGTCTTGGTCGTCAGCTTTTCTATTGTGAAGGACGTAGGTAGCAATCTCTTAGATTCTGAGAGAGAATGTTGATGCCTGCCAGTAGTTTCAGGTGTGAAATTCCCTGTTCACCTACATACCAGCTGATACACGGAGATAGGGTCCTGAGGTTCTTTTTTTTTTTTTTTTTTTTTTTTGCCAACCCTGCACCCTGTGAGTAAATTCCTCCTCATCACAGCCCTGCACTGTCTACTCTTACCCTGTTGTAGTCTCCAGCACCCTCAGCCCCCCTGACCTCCCCACCACCTGCCATCCTCCACCAGTCCCACCTCTCACCCTCCATGCCACAGCTTCCAAAGAAAATCGAGCAGTGTTGGAAGCAGCTTGTAAGTGACCAGCAAGTAGTTGTTGATTGTTGGAGTTTTGGAGGCCTGAAAAAGTAACATCTGGTTTGAAGGGTCTGCTTCCATTCCCATCTGGCTGGCCTGAGGGGTTTCTCTAAAGTGCATTTATATGTAAGTTTGTTGTACAACTGAGGAAGTAGGGAGGCCCTCGAAATGGGGGAGAGGAGTGATATAGTCATGGCTGTATTCTGCCTCATCATTTCTGTGTTTATATCTTTTATCAAATTCTTCTCATTCCAATCTTATTTATAGCTCTGGGAAGAAAACCCACCCACCTCATCTTCCAGAATACTCCTACACAGTTCCCATGTAGGACTGGCTTTCAGTTCTGACGGCATATCTGTAGGACACCCATGTCTTCAGTGGCTCCCTTGCCTTCAGGGTTGTTCATGTTCTGCATATTGTTCAGAGTTGAGGTATGGTCTTCCATAAAGTGCAGGAGATTAAAGACTCACCCAATTCCTACATACCCCCCTCTGCTGCTTGATAAGCTCTGTTCATGGCATCTAAACTATGGGGTATGGAAGTTGGTTTCTGATGTGTTTTTAAAACAGGATCATTTCCCAGCATCTGTCATTCTCCTCAAGTAAACATGTGTCTCAGATTTAACAGTATATAAACCCTACCAAATATAGAGTGCCAGATAGCAGAGGATTACATATTCCAGGCCCTGAGTTTTCTTTAATAATGTCTGAAGCTCTGCATATCTTGAGGGAGAGGAAAGATGCCACAGATAGGAAGCTCGTGTTTAAGTCCAAAGATTAAGACCAGAAATGCTGCTGTACCCAGAACGAAGACTCATAGAAGACACGGGTCATGTGTGGTACACTCTGTTCTCAAACAGAGCTTTCCCTACAGCCTTTCTCTTTGACTTTTAAAGGTGTACTAGGTCGTAAGGTTTAGGTGAAAAAGAAGAAAAATGTTCTGGCAGTGAGAGCTGCTGCAGAGGAATAACCTTTTAAAGGAAAGCATGGAAGTTCTTCTGACCCAGACAAATGAGAAAAAAGTCTCCTGTAATCTTTCTGGATATGAAAGAAGAACCTTGTCTGTATCTTCCTTCTCAGCCTTTTGTTACTCTATTGCGAATCCTTGAGAAAAGTGTAGAGTTGCATGTTTCTGTGCTACCGTTAACCCTCAGTTCACTGTTTTCCCATGTGCGTGTAGCGGAAACAGCTGGGTACCTTGGCAAGCACGTGAAGAAATCATTAGTTTTGTCCGATAGATTCTCTAAGGACCTTGCGCCATTGCTTGAGTGAGCTTGTGTTTTCACTTTAAATGGCATTTCTGTGCACCCAGCTGGTGCCATTGGTGATGCTTAACCACCGAATGGTTAGAAGAATCTAAAGAGTGTGAGGGCAGCACAGTTCAGAGAGGGCAGCCAGTTGCTGTCAGTCCAGAAGACTCACAAACTGCCTAACCCCTGAGAGGTGCTCAAATGTGTTGCTATGTGAAAAAGTGAACAAATTGGTCAGCTAGTTTTGACTGGCTCGTAGGTCTACAAATAGGCCCTGCATATCTCACATTGAAACTGTAAAGAATGGCTTTATGTAATGACTCCCCACCACTCTGTATTTTTAATAAACTTCGCTGTATCTTGACTCCCTAACCCTTAGTTCTGCAGTTTGACCCCTTTGTCGAGTTTCGGCTGTCAGTGTTAGCTGAGTGATGTACATAGAGATAGTGTGGCCCAGTTGTAGCACTTACAGCTAATCTGTCATTTCACGGGGCCCCAGTGTCAGCGGGAAACCTCCTGTTCATCTGATTATAGCAATCTCTGCAAGAAGAAATTTCTTTTAAACTCTGACAAGAGGTTATTTAATGGCTTGAAGTGTTAGGATTGATTACTATGATCCCTTATCTTCTGAAGCTAAATTTCTTCTTAATGATATTTTTATTTGTAACTTGGGAATTAGTACTTATATCCTTCTTCACCAAATGTCCAAACTGAGTTTCTATAATCTCTTTCCTTAGTATATATGTATCAAATCCATTTTGGTAAAGCTCTTTTTTAAAACTGATTTTAAAACTGAGAGGATAAACCAACTTCTTGAAGCCCCAGAGTTTCTT